CCCTGGATGGCCGGCTATGGTGGTGGCAGGACTTGCTCGAACAGTGAATGTGCTCCCGGTTTTGGTGATCTTTTCATCTTTGTGTGGCAGGACAGGCAAGCCGAAGATCTGCGGAGCTCCTCGTGGTCCTGGCAAACATTCTCGGTCTTTTCGTGGCAGGACCTCCGAGAGAGAGAGAGAGAGAGAGAGAGAGAGAGAGAGAGAGAGAGAGAGAGAGAGAGAGAGAGAGAGAGAGAGAGAGAGAGAGAGAGAGAGAGAGAGAGACAGAGTTGCTTGTGTGCTCACAAGACCGGATGCCAAAGCATGTTCACACATGTGCCTGTGTGTGTGGCTTCGCGAATCAGCGGCAGCTTTTTTTTGGTGTGCAACCGTCGGACGGGTTGCGAAAGCATGTTATATTGACAGGTTTTCACAGACATGTGACATGTGGTAGCATAAGCAGCTTTACTTTCTTTTTGTGCCCGCCTGTCCCTTTCTTGGTGTTACACCGAGTTAGGGCAGGCATCTATAAGATGGTTAGCGAATGTATGTTATTGTTATATAGCTTAGATGTGTTTTTAATTGTAGATTTTGTTTGTGTGGGCACCTTTTATATATAGATCTAAATTCGTAGCTCCTCGCCATGGAGCCGGCCAGCGGGAGTGTGAAGAAGTTGGACAAGACGGCCCTGGAGGGGCTCGATGCCCGCACCGAGGCACGAAAGTGCCGGAAGATGTTCTGATGGAGGAGCCAGACCCTCCGTCCGACAACGAGACCATGAGCACCGCAAAGCGGTCCAACAGCAAGCCGGAACATGGAAGAGGCCCTCTGCGTGAGGCGAAACAGGCCAAGAAAGCTTTGATCCACAAGGGGGTCATCTCGAAGGAGGAAGCAGACGAGCTGCCCGTCGAGGAGATTTTGGAGATGGTGAAGAAGTACCGCAAGGGCAGCGGCAACCTGACGGAGGCTGTCTTGGAGCAGCTCGCGGAGAACCAGAAGGAGGACCTCTTCAAGAAATTGTTTGGAGAGTTTCAAGAGAGCCCGGGCATGAACATGCCAACGATCACGGACGAGCAGGTGGAGGAGGCGGACAAGGAACTCACTTCCTTGTTCCTGTACCAGAAGTGTCCCTTTTGCGACAAAATTGTGGACGAGTGGCACGTGAAGAATAAGGACCACAAGAGTTACATGAGGGAGCACCTCAGGTCGTCGTACCTCCTCACGGACCCAACTGCGATGACGGCCACCGAGGTGAGGGAGTCCTTCGAGTTCGGCGATTCGGCGGGGGATTGCACCGTTTGTCGCTGGCAAACAGTGTGGAGTACTGGGGCGATGTGGAGAAGCTTCCGTCCTTGGTGCGGAGCATCCATGCCACCAAGGCGATGCAAATCAAATACGGCACGTCCAAGACCGCGAAAACGCACCTCCTGACAAAGGAGCAGGTGGGCTTGTGGGTAAAAAGGAGAACCAATAAAACATAACGATAAGGTTTATAGAATTTTTATAGAATAGTATAGGAAGAGTGACCACAGAGGGGGTTTGGACACGAGTCCAGGTGGCCAAGTACCATCTGGCCTGGGTGAGCTATGCTCCGACGTCCGGCAAGTACACGAATGCCTCGTACTCCAAGGACCACCTGAAGCTCCACACCGACCTCCAAAGGCCTAAACTTTTTAAACCCTGTAAACCCTCTCTATAACCCCTCTAAAAACCCTATATACCCTCTAAACCCTCTAAACCCTAAACCATAAACCATAAACCCTAAACCGCGGCCCTGAGGAACCCGCAGATGGTCTTCGAGAGCCCCGAGCCCGAGAGTAGCTGGTGGCCTGTGGTCCTGCTCCAGAGGCCTGAGGATCCCGAGTTTGAGAACTTGGCGAACATCGCGGGCACCCAGACCATCCTCATCATTTGCTGGTACCAGATCATGGAGGACGGCTTCTGGGTCTGGGTGATGACCGTCGAGGCGATGTGAAGCACTCGTCATTGCCATTTTGAGCTCCCACACAAACTCCCCTGTTCCTTTCTTGGTGTTACACCGAGTCAGGGCAGGGGAGGGAGTGTGGGAGCCCCCTGTCCGTTTCTTGGTGTGAGTTGTGTGGATGTTACTGGCTCTCGTCGCAAGCCTCCACGAGATGCAGTTTAGGTGGGTGGGAGGTTACTGCATTTGGGCGAGTCAGGGCAAACCCTGTTACGTGTTGTGGTATTGACAGTGGTTGCATCTAGGGGCCAAGCCATGCTCTCGGAAGAGAGTGCACAGCAGATAGCTGTTCCGTCTGAGAGTTTTGTGCCAGTGCGGCAGCGACAACCTCCGGTTGACACTTCTATGTCTAGGGAATGTTGGGGCCCTGGGCTTCCCTCCCGTTGCAAGTTTCCGGGGGAAATTCCTGTGCCTGACCACCATGGGGATTCTGACACTTCCGTGGCTTCCTCGCTTGGTCCTTTGATACCGGGCGTGTCCAACCTTAGCCATTCTTACCTTCCTGCTGCTGGCTGTTTCCATCTGGGATCCTCATTTCCCTTTCTCTCCTCTTCCTCCAATGGGGTGTTTCTTTCTTCTGTTGCCAGTCCCATTGAGGCAGTACGGTCCTGCTCGACGGGAGACCGTGCTGCCGTATGGTTGCGGTTCTTCGCGAGTCCCCCTCGGGGCTGTGGACCTGCTTGCGGGTATCCACTGGGTGCTTGACGCCGACTCCGTGCCGCCTGCTGTTTTCCTGCGGTTGGGGCAGGTGGTGGTGTCCGGGTTGTGTCCTTTTCTGGCGTCTTCCTTTCGGTTTCTTTCTTCGCTGTGGTTGGTGGGTCGTGGGGCAGGTGGCATTTCTTGTGTTGCCCTCGTTCTGTCGTTTCTTCTGAGTCCCTTCTTCTTCGCGTCTTGTTCATTCATCTTCCTCTCCACACAAGCTCCGTGGTCATGACCGAAGTTTATTGCTCTTCCATACTGATCTTCTATATTCGCGAGCCATGCGCTGCTTGCCTCTTGCCATACAGTCATACTGATGAGATGGGTTACTTTGCAGTTGAAGTCAATTGGCCAACTACCCTTGATGTTCTACACTATGTGCATTGGGTTGAATCTACCGATATATGATAGTTTCCCTGGCAGATTGGATTACTTGGTCCGGCTCCTCGATGCTTCGCTCCTCCTAGTTTGGAGGACGCCGGAGTAGTCAGGACGCTGGGTCAGGTAGGCCCGTGTGTGTGTGACAGTTGGTTGTCCGTCATATGCCCTTCTACCACTTCTGATACTGCGACTTCGTGGTCCGTACCTTGCGGCCTTTTCTTTCTTTCTCTCTCCCTCTTTCTCTTCCTCTCCCGTTCTCTTCGTCTCGCTCTTTCCTTCCTCCTTTTTTCCGCTCCTTCGAGGTCCCGTGTGTCTGCGCTTCTTTCCAGCTGTCTGTGTGGTGTTAGCGAGGGCTAGTTTTGTGGTTGGTGTGCTGCTTCCTCATTTGACAGGAGCTCGGTGGGCGGTCTCTACAGGCCGAACAGTCCCGACGACGACGATGTTATTTATTACTTATAATGAGCTCCCACACAAACTCCCCTGTTCCTTTCTTGGTGTTACACCGAGTCAGGGCAGGGGAGGGGGTGTGGGAGCAGGGAGGCAGTATCATAGGGGTTGACATATATTTATTACTTATAATGAGCTCCCACACAAACTCCCCTGTTCCTTTCTTGGTGTTACACCGAGTCAGGGCAGGGGAGGGGGTGTGGGAGCAGGGAGGCAGTATCATAGGGGTTGACATATATTTATTACTTATAACTATTTGCCACCAAACACAGAACATGGATAGTCACACCGAGTTATATAAGGCAGGGGAGGCCAGGCACGGCCATCGCACACAGGTGTAGCATCTTCTGCACCCCGAAAAAAGCCTCTGTGTGGCTCGGGCTGCCGTCTTGCTTCTCTGTTTCACCTGTGACTCACGGCCTTGTGCCTTCGCAAAAATCTCTATGCAGGGCGGCAGCTACATGTGTGTTTGATGGACGTGGTGTTGCAAATGTGGTGGTACGGCTGATAACATCGATTTGTTCTTTGTGCTTTTGCTGCCGCAGGAAATCCTTCGATGCCTGTGGGACATCATCTGCAAGCAGCAAGCCTCCGCCAAGGCTCGGGCAACTCGAGACATGTGTTTGATGACATTGTAGTGCCCAATGTGGTGGTACGGCTGATAACATCGATTTGTTCTTTGTGCTTTTGCTGCCGCAGGAAATCCTTCGATGCCTGTGGGACATCATGTGCAAGCAGCAAGCCTCCGCCCAGGCTCGGGCAACTCGACATGTGTTTGATGACATTGTAGTGCCCAATGTGGTGGTACGGCTCATAACATCGATTTGTTCTTTGTGCTTTTGCTGCCGCAGGAAATCCTTCGATGCCTGTGGGACATCATCTGCAAGCAGCAAGCCTCCGCCAAGGCTCGGGCAACTCGACATGTGTTTGATGACATTGTAGTGCCCAGGCTGTCAATAGCTCGAGTACAATGGGGGGGAACCCAAAACCCCAAGCTTGACGGGCTTGAAGGGCTTTACAGAGGTGTGGAGATTTGGGCTTGAGAGCTTTCCCTGCCCTAACTCGGTGTAACACCAAGAAAGGGACAGGGGACTGCTATGATACCCCTAAACCCTAAACCCTAAACCGTAAACCCTCAACCCTAAACCGTAGCCCTAAACCCTCAACCCCTAAACCCTAACCCCTAAACCCTTCCCCTGGTTCAGGGTTAGGGTTTACTCTAGAGCTATATAGCTTTCAGAGCCATCAAGGGTTCAGGGTTAGGGTTTACTTTAGTGCTATATACAGTTTTTTCAGAGCCATGGCTACTCGTTTGGATCGTTTGATGGCAGTCCAACGGAAACCGAGCAACAAGCGAGTGTGTGCTGACTCGACTGTGTCGGTGTCAGATGTGCAAAAATGCCTCACCAGGCATTTGAGGGACAAGAGCACCACAGACCTCTGGTCATGCATCGTTCCGGGCCCGGATGGGTCCCGTACATGGACTTTCAGAAAAAGCGCTGATGCCCGGTGGATGGCGAGATTTGCCTCCCTGGCCTTTGACCTGGTCAGCGATGTTTGTCGAAATTCCAAGATACTCAGCAGAGTTATGACTCCAGCAATCGAAGCTTGCATGTTGAGCGGTGATGTTACCAACACCAGCGGCCATGACGATAAGAAGTTCACTGCCTGTGCTGATATCACGATCAGAATATTGCTCAGCTGGTTTCGCCAGCTGAAAGTTAACAAGAAGAAACGGGACACCGCTTTCAGGCGGCTTTCTGAGGCAGAGAAAGCCAAAGTCACAATGGTCATGGATAAGATCGAGCTGAATGAGGAGGAGGCTGAAGAGGCTGCCAAGGAAGAAGGTGGCTCTGAGTCCGATGTGGACCTGACCTTTATGGTTTCTCTTGATTCCCTGTGTACGACAAACACAGCAGTGGATCATAACCCGACGACCTCTGTCGAGATCTTCGCGACCGAGGAGAGTTCTGAATTGCACCGAATGTTCGACAATGTCCTCATGTCTCCTTCCACTCCTCCTCCTTCCGGTGGTGCTCCTTCCGGTTCTGCTCCTTGCGGTTCGGATCCTTGCGGTTCGGCTCCTTCCGGTGCTGCTTCTTCCGGTGCTGCTGCGGCAGAGCAGCCGGTGACTCTGAGCAACTTGGATCTGATTGCTTTGGCCAGAAGTCGCAGGCCTGCATTCACGGAGACCAAGACAGCTTCAGGATCGAAGCCGAAGGCCAAGGCCAAGGCCAAGGCCAAGGGTAAAGCCCAGGCGACGGCCGTGGTTAAAAAGAAACTCAAGTCGAAGGCGGTTCAGAAGAAACCGGCGGCTGCGGTTGCAAAGGCCGTGCCTTCCGAACCGGCGGCGGCGGTTGCAAAGGCCGTGCCTTCCGAAGCGGCGGCGGCGGTGGCAAAGGCCGTGCCCGGTCAGGCCGAGCAAATCTTTACTGCTCCGGATGGTGCTGAGTATATGTTCATGATGTACGACAGAGGGGCTTCCGACTGAGAGGATTGCCATCTGTGAGTGGCTCGGCACGAAGAGGGGCCATCAGCTTCTGCAGGTGTCCAGAGTGGGCCTGGCTTCAGAAAGGAGGGCAGCGATTGCTCGGGAGCTCATGGACATGCTGGTTGCTGGCAAATCCCTGCAAGATGTGATAGCCCGGAAGTTGGAGCTACTTAGGGCCGTGTAGTATGATCGCCCTTTTGATGTGTACAGCACGTGGCTGCTAACTCCCCTGTGCCTTTCTTGGTGTTACACCGAGTTAGGTCAGGGGATACAGCACGTGGCTGCTCGCGATTCGCTGTGTGCCCACCCGCAAAATCTCGTGCACCCCTGTGCTGTCTCATTTCTCTGCGGTTGATGCACCGAAATCGTTCGTCTCTCTCTCGCAACGTGTTTGTCAGTGTGTGCATATAGTGCATGGAAGCACAAAAGAACGGGGCAGACTCGGTCGCATGTCGGTTGTTACAATCAAGCCACGAATCCAAAAAAGCATTGCCCCCGGACTCGCACAGGGTCCGGTTTGGACTCCTCTGCTGGAGAAGTGGTTGAGAAGTGGAAGGCCGGAGGGTGCTAGGTCGTGGCGCTTTTCGGGTTTCGGGCACACAGCGGTTCCTGTGACTTCGATTTCCTTCTCCGAACCACATCCTTGGAGGGTCTAGAGGATTCATGACGAAGGTGTGTGTGTTTTGGGTTCGCGGGGTTAAGAGAGAGTTCTCGGGTTAAGGGCTGGCAGGTTCGTTTCACAGGTTTATGGGGTTGGGGTTATATATGTATAAGGGCAGAGGGGTTCGATTTTTGGGTATATATAGCCCTCCCCTGCCCTAACTCGGTGTAACACCAAGAAAGGAACAGGGGAGTTTGCTTGTTCATCGGGGGGTGGCCATCGCTGCCAGGACCCCATGCTGGTCGGATGCCGTGTGGTCGCAGAGGAAAACATCACAGAAATAGTGTGCTTCTGTGTGCAGTGGAGAGATGTGTGTGGAATTTCGAGCTCCAAAGCAAACTCCCCTGTTCCTTTCTTGGTGTTACACCGAGTTAGGGCAGGGGAGGGCTATGTGAGCACAGCAAAGCACAAGACAACAAAGGGACAGTTTGCTTCGCGGCCCGGTCTAGATATAGTGGAATTTCGAGCTTCAAAGCAAACTCCCCTGTTCCTTTCTTGGTGTTACACCGAGTTAGGGCAGGGGAGGGTTATGTGAGCACACCAAAACACAACAAGGGGACAGCGAAAACCATCATGGGGGGTGGGGTGGGGTATAGGGTGGGGTGGGGTATAGGGTGGGGTGAGTGTTCTTATGCTCCCAAAACCGGTTTTTGTTGTGATTGTTCAGAATGAAATCAAAATCTTCTCAATGGTTTGAGACGGAAACCGTAGAAGTTGCATATATTTTGTGACGGTTTCACATTGTAAAACAAAAGAGTTTTGTAAATTCCGTAGCATTTCAATCATGTTCTTTAAAACAAAGAGCCAAATTTCATCCGCGAATTTAGAGTTCTGTAGAAATTCCATGGGAATCTCCATGAAAAATACTTAAAACTATTGTAATTTTGATTGGATTATCAGCAACCAGTAATAAAATTCACTGAATACATATGGATTTTATTGAAAAATGTTTTTTTTACTTGCAAAAAAACACAGACGTTTGCAGAACACACATACATTTTAGCCCAAAATCTATACATTTGTACCAAAAATGTATAGATTTTAATCAAAAGTTCATACATTTCCACCAAAAATGTATCATTTTAGGTGAAAATCTATACATTTCCACTAAAAATGTATAGATTTCAATCAAAAGTTCATACATATCCAGCAAAAATGTATCATTTTAGGTGAAAATCTAGATATTTCCACCCAAAATGTATAGATTTCAATCAAAAGTTTATACATTTCCAGCAAAAATGTATCATTTTAGGTGAAAATCTAGACATTTCCACCAAAAATGTATAGATTTTAGCCAAAAATCTATACATTTCTACCAAAAATGTATAGATTTTAACCAAAAATCTATACATTTTTACCAAAATTGTATAGATTTTCACCAAAAATCTATACATTTTCACCAGAAATGCATAATTTTAGCCTAAAATCTATACATTCACACCAAAAATGTATAGATTTCAACCAAAAGTGCATACATTTTCACCAAAAGTGCATACACTTTCACCAAAAGTGCATACACTTTCACCAAAAGTGCATACATTTTCACCAAAAGTGCATACACTTTCACCAAAAGTGCATACACTTTCACCAAAAGTGCATACACTTTCGCCAAAAGTGTATACACTTTCACCAAAAGTGCATACACTTTCACCAAAAGTGTATACACTTTCACCAAAAGTGTATACACTTTCACAAAAGTGTATACACTTTCACGAAAAGTGTATACGAGTGTATACACTTTTGGCTAAAAGTGTATACACTTTCACCGAAAGTGTATACACTTTTGGCCAAAAGTGTATACACTTTTGGTCGAAAGTGCATACACTTTTGCTGGAAAAGTCTTCAATGTGAGCCAAAACAAACAAAATCGGGTTCATTCTATAGCTTTTGAATACAGAAAACTATACATGCACAGAGAAAAGCTTAATTTGAAATTTTGTTTTTTCTCCTTCTGGTGAATTTCGGGCCTCCCTCGGTTCTCTCTCTCTCTCTCTCTCTCTCTCTCTCTCTCTCCTTCTCTGTATGTGTGTGTAGCTTTTTTGAATACAGAAAACTATAAATGCAGAAAGAAAAGCTTAATTTGAAATTTTTTCTCCTTCTGGCGAATTTCGGGCCTCCCTGGGTGCTCTCATCTATATATAACAGCCTGTAGAGGTCGAAGAAATGCTAGGGATTCCGCACATGTATATATATATATATATATATATATATATATATATTTCGGTCATGGACACTGAGACCCGAAGCGATCTTTTGCACAAGATCTTTTTTTTGTGCCCGCACACACAGCTATGGCAAAGCCAAAGCGATCGGAGGCAGAGGAGCAAGAGGCTCCAGAGGAGGTTGAGGAAGAAGTGGACCCAGAAGGAGAAGAGGAAGAAGAGGACAACGACGAGGAGGTAGAGGAGGAGGAGCAGGAGGAGGAGCAGGAGGAGGAAGAGGAGACCCCAGCAGCCCAGCCCAGTAAGCCAAGACCGGGGATCCTGAAGTCGGGAGGAAAGCCAGGGGGGAAGGTTGTTGCAAAGGCGAAAAGCACAGCAAAGGCGAAGGTGAGCCCAGCACCCAGCAAGGCACCCGCAAAGCCAAAAGCCAAGGCCGACCCTGCCAAGCCCAAAGGGCCCAAAGCGAAGGCCAAGCCGAACCCAGCACCCCCAGCACCCACAACGCCCAAGTCGAAGTGCAAAGCCAAGCCCGCCGACCCTGTCAACCCTAAAGCGAAGGCCAAGACAGCACCCAAAGCCAAGGCCAAGGCCGACCCCAAGGCGAAGGCCGACCCCAAGAAGAAGACCAACCCCAAAGACAACAAGGCCGACCCCAAGAAGAAGACCGAGCCCAAAGACAACAAGGCCAACCCCAAAGCGAAGGCCGAGCCCAAAGACAACAAGGCCAACCCCAAAGCGAAGGCCGACCCCAAGGCAAAGGCCGACCCGAAGCCAAAGGCCTTCACAAGGAAGCGAAGCATGGCAGAGGCCTTGACCGGCGACTGGATCAATGGGCTTGAGCCTGAGGAGTCCGGCGAGACTCCAGCAGAAGAGCCGGAGGAAAGCCAAGCTGGGCCGGGTCGACGAGACCGCAGCAAGCAGTTCAAGTTCAACGTGTTGCTCGCAGCAGGAGCAGTGCCAGAGAAAATGAAGACGGAGTGGGAGGCTTTGAGTGCCGGCGGCAACGGCAAGAGGAAACGAAGACGCAGTGAGTCGTGACCCCGAGACAGGGAAGCTTGCCCTCACCTGCGACACCGCAGAAGTGACGGGGGAAAGCAGTCTGGAGAAGAAGCAGGCCACTGGGTGGGGAGACAAAGGATTGCCGAGAACGCTCTTTAAAGGGCGCTTTGGGTTGTCGGATGAGCAGCTAAGGGCCGCGATCTTGAATGATGAAGTCTCCGTTGTCACCCAAGACAACGTGGTGTTCTGTCAATGGCGAACCTTGAAGTCCACTTCGATGGACGAGCGAAAGAACGTGGCAGCGATCAAGTCCGAGGCTGCGAGAGTCTCTGGGTCCCAAGCAGGACAACTCCAAGTCCTGTTCGACAGTGTGTCGATGGAAAGGCCTGAGCCGACAGAGGAGGACCTCAGGAACGCCGCTGCCTCATCGGCTGCTCCGCCGACCGTGGCGGTGCCAACCATCAAAGCCATCGAGGACAAGAAGGAGGAGCCTGCCGTGCCAGCGGCCTTGTCAGAGGCCGACTGGTCGAAAGCGGACGGGCTCCTAAAGAAGGCTGAAAGCGCCGTCGAGAAGCTCAAGAAGGTCCTCGCGGGAGTATCATAGCAGTTCCCTGTGTCTTTCTTGGTGTTACACCGAGTTAGGGCAGGGAATTGCACGTCACAGTTCCAGGATGCAAGCAAACTGAGCGACAAGATCAAGCAGAACAAAGACGACCCCCTCCTCAACAAAATGCATCTTATCGAGAATCTATGTAACAGAGAGTATAGAGAGCCCATGCTTCATGTCACAGCCCCCACAAGGAAGGCCACCATCCAAGCTCTGACGGACAAGAAAGCTTTGCTGGAGCATGTGCGATCCTTCCAGGACCAGAGAGATGTGTACAAGTGTGCCTATATATATGCAAATGTGTGCTGCAGGACCTGCCCGATGGCACCCGCATCAACAAGGAGAATCTCCAAACGACCCTGCTCGAAGCAGGCCACACATGCTGTGCTGAATCGGCGACCCTCTTCCCTCGACTCGCGACCCTATATACATCCGAACCCTTCTGCACAGGCCAGCTGTGCAGCCAAGTGGTCGAGGAGATCACTGGCTGGAGTGCAGCCAGTTGAAGGCCCGTGGCCTCTGAGGCCGGCCTCTAGGGGGGTTTGGGGTCCAGCCTTGAATTTTTAAGGGCTTAGGGCTTTCAAAAGGGTTTATAAAAAGAGTTGATCCTAAACCCTCTCAGAAACAGGGATAATCATGCTAAGTATTGCCCGAAGCCTGGTCCGTCTGGGCCCTAAACCCTCCAAAGTTCGGATAATCATGCTATGAGTATTGCCCAAAGCCTGGTCCGTCTTGGACCTAGACCCTCACAAGTTCGGATAATCATGCTAAGTATTGCCCAAGGCCTGGTCCGTCTTGGCCCTAAACCCGCAAAAGTTCGGATAATCATGCTAAGAATTGCCCAAAGCCCTCTTCCGTTTCAGTCAAAACCCTTCAAAACAGGGATAATCATGCTAAGTATTGCCCAAAGCCTGGTCCGTCTTTGTCCTCAACCCTCAGAAACAGGGATAATCATGCTAAGTATTGCCCGAAGCCTGGTCCGTCTGGGCCCTAAACCCTCCAAAGTTCGGAGGATCATGCTAAGTATTGCCCAAAGCCTGGTCCGTCTTGGACCTAAACCCTCACAAGTTCGGATAATCATGCTAAGTATTGCCCAAGGCCTGGTCCGTCTTGGCCCTAAACCCGCAAAAGTTCGGATAATCATGCTAAGAATTGCCCAAAGCCCTCTTCCGTTTCAGTCTGAACCCTTCAAAACAGGGATAATCATGCTAAGTATTGCCCAAAGCCTGGTCCGTCTTTGTCCTCAACCCTCAGAAACAGGGATAATCATGCTAAGCATTGTCCAGAAAGCCTTGCCGCAGCTGTTTTTGTTTCGAATATCAAACACCACCCAGCAGTCCCGTGTCCCTTTCTTGGTGTTACACCGAGTTAGGTCAGGGCGCAATATATCAAACCACTCCCCTGTCCCTTTCTTGGTGTTACACCGAGTTAGGTCAGGGCACAATATATCAAACCACTCCCCTGTCCCTTTCTTGGTGTTACACCGACTTAGCTCAGGGCACAATATATCAAAGCACTGCCCTGTCCCTTTCTTGGTGTTACATCGAGTTAGCTCAGGGCACAATATATCAAAGCACTGCCCTGTCCCTTTCTTGGTGTTACACCGAGTTAGCTCAGGGCACAATATATCAAAGCACTGCCCTGTCCCTTTCTTGGTGTTACACCGAGTTAGGTCAGGGCACAAAATCCAAGAGCTATAACCCTACGGGCTTCAGCTTGAAAAAGGTTCAGGGGTTCAGGGTTAGAGGGTTTACTTTTTAGATGAAAATATGATCGAATAGGACATTTCCTATCTCTGATGTTCTGATGGCCGGTTTGGGGCCACCACCAAAAAAAAAGAGGACCACAAGTGCTGGCATCGCAGCAGCCGCCAGTGAACTGCCAGGCTCCAGATTGAGAGTTTGGCTCCTGGAACAGTTTGCATGGGACCTGCTATCACCACAGCAGGTGCAAGCAATATCTGCTGCAGCATTGCATGATGCCAGAGAACGAACTGTGACTGACCTCGAGCCCCTCGCCAAGCTTGGAAGCTCCGGTCAACACAGCAACAATGTCAACAGGGACTTGATGAGATTGGTCGGGCAGGAGCCACTGATGTACAATCCCAGTCGCACCACTTTGCGAAAAAATGCTTCTGAAGTGCCCGTGCCCGTCGACGGAGTGCCCAGCGACGAGCATGCCTACACCATCAGCCTGCCACACGAGTTATTTAGCAGCCTCTACCACAATTACAAGGCAGCGTGGAAACAAGTGATCATGCCTGGACAGGCGTTTTTGGATCGCTTTTGGAAGTCGGCCAGAGGGCTGCCGCAGTGGGAGGGCCACCCACTGGCATCGGAGCCATCCAGTGGGAGGGCCACCCACTGGCATCGGAGCCATCCCATCAGGTGAGAAAAATCATACCATTATCATTGCACGGGGACGAAACACCGGTGCTGGCCAAGGGGAAGATTTGGTCCTCTTCAGCCTTAGTGATGTCATGGGCTTCCCTTTTGGGTAGCGGCTCCACGAAACAAAGCCAGCTCTACATCTGGGCCGCCTGGCACAAGTCATTCTCCAAAGAGACGAATGGTGACCTCTGGAGTCTTTTACTCTGGTCTTTCGAAGCCTTGTGGTCCGGCGTTTTCCCGAAAAAAGACTGGCGAGGATATGATTTCGATCCCCACAGTCCCGAGGGACAGCGAGCTGGCCAATACCTCGCGGACGGCTATAGAGCTGTCTTGGTGGCTAGCTGTGGAGACCTGGACTACATGGCACAGTTCCAGGGCCTTCCCCGGTGGAATTCCAATTCCCCTTGTTGCTTGTGCCAGTGCCAGAAAAAAGGAGACCGCAGTTGGCACTGCTTTGCGGAGGATGCCGCATGGAGGACAACTCTGTGGACCCCTGCTGCTTGGAAAGCATGGCCGAGCCGAAGCATGAACAGGATGTTCCAGAAGGACCTCTGCTCTGTGCTGGTGGTCCATTTTGACCTGATGCATTGCCGGTACCTTGGCTATCTCCAGCAGCTCTATGGATCGGTTTTTTGGGTCCTCTGTGAGGAGACGATGCAGGGGAGTCCAAGCGACAATCTGCATGAACTCTGGGGCTTTCTGAAGACATACCAATCCACCCACAAGGTGCACAGCCCGTACTCCCAGAGGCTGAACAAGGTCAGCATGTACAAGAAGAAGACCGACTTTCCGAAGCTTCGTGGAAAAGCGGCGGAGATCAAGGACATGGCAGCAGCCGTGCGGGCAATGTGGGGTCATTTTGGTGTTCCTGGTCAGGACTTCCAAGAGATTGGGTTACTCTTGGATTTGACATGCAAGTTCGAGGAGATACTGGAGGAATGGCCCATTGCAGACGGCTATTTCTGCCTTCCTGCCGAAGCTGCAGACAGACTGAAGACGAACTTTCGGGACTTCGCATGTTTGTATGTCATGGTCGGGGATCGCTTTCGCAGCGAAGATCGTCGGGCCTTCAATCCTACGGAAAAGATTCTCTTCTTCCGGAACAATGCATGTTTTTCACATTTGTGGCTTTTATAAATATACAAACACAAATCCTGCAACCCTTAAACCCTATAAACAGCCTTTTTCTAAAGCCCACAAACCTTTTCTTCCAGAGACATATAGAAGGATGCATGCCTGCGAGCATATCGTCATGCTCAGTCACTTGATTCATCCTGGCCTCACATCTTGCTGGCGAGGGGAGGACAGAAATGAATGGTCTCCTGCTTTATAAACACGTGCTCGCACAATCCAAAGGGTTTTTTTTTGTGTAGAGGTTTCATATATGTGGGTCCTAGGACTTATATATAGAGAGGGCTTCAAGTCTAAACGATTTTGGGTTTCGGGGCCCTCGAGGACTACATGTCCAAGCTCGGCACTCTGATGGCTTCCTGCTGTCGTGGTGTTCAGCGAGAGGAGGCGAGCCACAAGCTGAACCTGAAGATGAGGCTTGCACTTCACCTGCAGTGGCAGAAGCTGTCGTGACCTCTGTTCTCTGCTCTCCTGGTCCATTTTGACAGATGAGATCTCCCCTGTTCCTTTCTTGGTGTTACACCGAGTCAGTGGGGAGATCCACAAAGCAAACGCCCCTGTCCCTTTCTTGGTGTTACACCGAGTTAGGTCAGGGCGCAATATATATCAAACCACACTGCCCTGTCCCTTTCTTGGTGTTACACCGAGTTAGGTCAGGGCACAATATATCAAAGCACAGCCCTGTCCCTTTCTTGGTGTTACACCGAGTTAGGTCAGGGCACAAAATCCAAGAGCTCTCATCGCTCTCGCGGAAAAAAAATCGCAGTGCACAGAGGCCTGCCGCACAACCCTTTTAAACCCTCTCTATAGAAACCTGTAAATCCTGTGAACCCTATAAACCCTCTATAAGCCACAACAAAAGGAAGACTCTGTTTGCATCTCTCTGGCAGGCTCCATCATCCTGGACGAGGTTTTGGTGGCCAGCTGTGGAGACTTGACGGTGCTCAGCAAGGGGAAAATTTGGGACTGGGCTTTGGCCCACTTTTGGCAAAGGCCTGTTCCAAGGGTTTACAGAGTGTGTCTTTGCAGTCCCACGAAAGAAGATTCAGAGTGCTCTCTGGCAGGCTGTGGCTGTGGTTTTGAGCTCTCCAAAGCAAACTCCCCTGTTCCTTTCTTGGTGTTACACCGAGTTAGGTCAGGGGAGGGCTATGGAGGTTTTGGCACAAATCACGAAGGCCTGCTCCAAGGGTTTACAGACTGTGTGTTTGCATTCCCACAAAAGAAGATTCAGAGTGTGCTCTCTGGCAGGCTCTGGCCGGTTTTGAGCTCTGGAACTTTCTGAAGACATACCCGTGTTGCTCCAAAGCAGCACACACTCCTGTGACCTTTGTTCTCTGTTCGCCTGGTCCATTTTGACAGATGAGACCTCCCCTGTTCCTTTATTGGTGTTACACCGAGTCAGTGGGGAGATCCACAAAGCAAACTCCCCTCTCTGTTCCTTTCTTGGTGTTACACCGAGTTGGGGGAGGTTTCTCGCACTTGGAGGAAGCACTCTCATCGCTCTCGCGAAAAAAAAAGATGTCGTCGCAGTGCAGTTTCGAAACCTGTGACACATCGCGACTTCCAATGTGAAGAGCATCGCATGCCTCATTGTGTGAGAAGCTTTCGCACAGCGAAACTGCGAACAGCTCTCACGCATTATATAAAGCAGCAGGAAGTTTTGACCGACGAGATGTGAGGGCACACGCACAGAGAGTGAGAGAGAAACAGGGGAAACACACACGAACCCTAAGCCCTATACAGACCTTTTTGGCCCTAAACCCTATAAAACCCTACAGACCTTACACACCCTCTCATTCTTTGGATCAAATTTTCGGCTACAGACCTCACCCTAAACCCTAAAATTTATAATTCTTGTGGCTCAAGTTTTTGGCTCAAATAGAACAGAGGAGCTCTCCTCCACAAAGATGTGCTGGTGCCTCGAAATTCTGTCACTGAAACCTCGAAAAAAGTTCTTCTGGCTCAAATGTGTGGCTCAAAAGAACAGAGGACTCTCTCTCCTCCACACAAACATGTATATACATCTCTTGGTTCTGCTTGTTGTTATGTCGACCGCATTCTTCAGTGGAGACAACAAAATCTTGTTTTTCGTGTGTGTGTTTCGTCCAAATGGCATTGGGAAACACATGGAAACACAAGCACAACGGAACTTTGTGCCAGTAATCTCGGCTGCAAATGTACCGAAACAGAGTGTAATTCGGAGAACATGGGTGTATAATTTGCACGTTTTGGCGTGTAATTTACACACCCAAATTTACACGAAAACGTGTAAATTTCAGGGATAGATTTACACGTCAAAAACGTGTAAAAAATTAAAAAATGTAAAATGTAAAATTACACGCAAGAGATCTATCAGGAGAG